CATGCATGTGATTCTTTGGGTCTGACCCACATTTGTGTATCTCGGCACCATCCCATTACACTCATTGAAAAATACCCCCAAAAAGATCGCCCACCCTGCAACCAGGCGCTCTTGTGACGCTTTATGTCAACTGACCTAATCCCATCAACATTGGTTTTCAAATTCTTACCTGTACTAGTCTCCTGGAAATCTTAAAACAATACATTCCAGGGTTTATTTCATAGGTGTGTATATGCGTGTGCGTGTATGTGCACACGCAGGCTAGAATGTGCCTTTCAAGCCAGTTCTCAAAAAATTCTAATACTGCTGGCCCCAAGAGCACACAGTGGGTGCCACTGCTTTACTTCAACTGGTAAGGAAAGTGTCATTGCTGTCACCCCATCCCCATTTTATGGACAAGGGAACCGATAGAGGATTAAGCAACATGCCTAAGGTCATGGAGCTAGTGCCTAGTGGTGGCCATGTGTTTTAGTTCAAAGGTGGCAAATAAGCAAATTTAAGGATGGCACTTAAAATATTTGTTTGCAACCAATATATATCTACATCTCTGTAAAGTCCCAGCGTGAAGAATTAGTTACAACCCAGCTGCATAAAGCCTATTCTACTCTTATGTTACAGATCTTTTAGTGTGCCTGAAAGTTTTTCTCTAATATTTTTAATGCATAGAAAGGTACACTACATACTAGACACAAAGACTAACACTGTTAGATAGGAACCTTATGTAATTGTTGCAATTTACATACAAATTCAACTTAAAGACCGTCTAAGACTGGAACTAATTTGTAATCTGAAGATTCTTTCCTTTTCTGTCTCGGTATATAGACCAGGGCCCTTTAAAAAGTTCGTGGGGAGAATGGAATTAAAATATAATGGAACTCTTCCAGGGACTTTATGAAGCCCCCTGTGTAGTTTATATCCACACTCCCATTGGGTCATAACTTCCAGCTGAGATAGAAGCACTATAAAAGCTAACTGATGCCAAGAGGGTGGAGGGGAAGTCTTTGAGGAACTCTTATGCTCTCCCAGGTTTCCTTTGGCTCTCACTGGGATAAAGCCAAGATTTAGGGAGGCACAAATATCAATGTACAAACTGACTAATTAAATATGTAAAAGGCAACCACACTAAGTAAGAATTTGCAACGAAAGAATGAACTGTGTATAAATATTCAGTATCTTGCTTTAAGTGTGTTTATTTTTGACTTTTGGTAAATTTTGAAAACAGTATCTAGAGAAGCTAGCCTTGTCACATACATGCTACTTCTGCGCCCCCATCCTCCCACGCCCAAGGTGAGGATGGCAATTCTTTCCTGAATCTGTGAGCCTTTCACATCTTGATCTCATTCATAGCATCTCCCTGGTTTCCTCCAATAAACAGCTTCTTCCTTAAATCGGTGGCATTATGTTATTTTTGAGATCTGAATCACAGGGACTGTAACACAAGCCTGCATGCTCCATCTTGTCGCTTTGTACAGTGCTGTATATTTAATTAAAGCTTCTTACAGGTCCATAAAAAGACCAAACATTGGGGGGAGGGGGGAAAACAGTCCATGTTGGAGAAAAGTCCCAGGGCAGACTGGAGAAGGGGGTTCTTCAGTGATAATAAACAACTTTGCTTAAGTTCAAAGGTAAGGAAGAATCTATTAATTTGTACTTAAACATTTCTAAATATGACCCGAGCATAAGCAGATCAGGTGACCATACTGATGGTGCAAGACCCAAAAAAACAGGTCACGTGCTTGCCAGCAGTGCTCCCAGCTTCTGAAGCTGGGCCTGAATAAACGATTTGCCCATGGCCAGGACAGCATTGCCTCCCTCCCTGGGAGAGTTGGGGCAGACTTACTTAAATCAATTTCTTATTGTTTCTTTTAAATGTTTCGATATTCTTATGCCCTCGTTTTTGTGCAGAATTTATCCAAAAGCAGATATACGGAGCAGCGATACTATAAATACTGATTTTCAAGGGCTTATTTATTATGACTACTGGTTTTGTGGTTACTGTTACATTTCTGGGGCCACAGGCCTCCAAGTGGAGGCCTTCGCCCACTGGATTCCCTAGGGAGGCCATTAAGAGTGATAGTTTCCCCCTGTAAGCAGGCTACAGAGTTCCCCCAAGCAATGATCCCTCCCTGAGGGGGAAAGTGCAAGCCTTCCCAGCTCTCCAGCCACAAAAGGGCCGAGTCCGCAAACCCAGGGCAGGCACCCTTACTTGACACACTACTAGATTCAGATTTAGAACGGCACTGTCAAAATGAGATGATTCTTAAGAGTGTGGTACTTTTTCCGAGTAGGAGGGACCAAGCAACTGAGGCCTTGCCTGTTGAAGCCCACCGTCTGGGGCTTTCCTCCTCGGACCCCTCCTTGCAATCACCACCCAGTGACTAGGCACAGGGTAACCAGAAGTCCCCCTCTAACAGTATACCAAATTAGAAGCCCGAGACTCAAAGGATTCACCCCTCCTCATCTCCCATTCACCTTCAGAAGTGAGTGAGACAAGGGCTGAAAGGAAAGGCCTCCCACATTTGCAGCTCAGCCCACTGGTCTGCCAAAGCCATCCAGACATCTCTTCTTCCGGCCAGCTAACCCACCTTGAAGAGTCGGTGTCCCTGTTGGCGCCTGTCCGTCTACGTCAGGGCTTCCTCCTGGAGGGGCGAGGAGGCAGGTGGAAGTCTCAGAGGCTTATCTCAGGTCTGGCCAGTCTGGCACGTGTGCTAGGCACCGCTTGAAGGGGGGCGGGGGCGGGCACGCGTCACTGGGTGGTTTCCATGAACCCTGTAACGCCTAACGACCTTCCTTAAACACGGTCGAGAGGTGGCGACGAGGAAGGATATTGCTCTTCCCGTGCAAGTCCACAGGTGCGCGGGGTGTTCCGGACATTTTTAGGCACCTCACGTATGAAAGGCGCTGGATTGGGGCAGCCAGACAAGAGGGAGGGAGGTGTGTGTGTGTGCGTGTGTCCTGCCACCAACATCTGGACTCACTGCCATTGGGAGCAGGCTGATTCACAGTGACCCTATGTTGTCCAGGGGCAGCAGGGAATTAGGGGGAGGGTGGCGGAGTGTGTGTCGGGTTCTGTCGCTGTCCCTTACAGCCTGTGGTTTTGAACTGCGACCCTATAGCCCCAAGGGCTCCATTTCTTTTTCACCTTGAAATTGGGAGCTTCATCTCAGCGATTATGCTCCTGAGAGAGTCAGAAAATGGAAAATGAAGGGGGAAAAAAATCCCAAACTCACTACCACGGAGTCGATGTCAACTCACAGCGACCCTATAGGGCAAGGTCGAACGCCCGAGACTGACTCTTCAGGGGCGTAGACAGCTAGCTCTGTTGGTTCCCACTGGTGGTTTAAGGCGGAGGGATAGTAGGTCGCATGCACCGTGACATCCAGTTTGTTAGGGTTCCCTTCCAGGAAAGAGCTGGTCTCCATCGCCTGAGTGCTCAGTGGTGGGGATCCCGGGTTGCCTTCCTCGCATCCACACCCCAAATGTCTCAGGTCTGCGCTAAACTCCCTTCCTCAGGCACCATCCAGGGTAATGCCTGGCACGTTAAACCCCTGACTTGGGTATATTGGAGCCTGGTGGTGCAGTGGTCAAAGCGCTTGGCTGCTTCCGCTCCCCCCATAAAAGGTGGGCAGTCCGCATTTGAACAGTAGAGCCTTGGAAACCCTGTGGGGCGGTTCTGTTTTGTCCTATAGGGCCGCTATAGGTGTCCGTACTCACAGCAATGGGGTTGGATTTAGGGGTCCAGGTATTTTCGTGCTCTTCATGACCTTTTACCTTTCGGGGCGTTTCTGGATAAGGCAGCCTGGTGGGAGTAATGTCTCGCAGACCTTTAGAGCAAGCACCGTACTGGGAGACTGGGCTTTCCTCCTTTTTGTTTACATAACAAGAAAATCAACACCAGTCCTAAAAACTGGATTCTCACAAAGAAACTGCGGCCTATAGATAGATAGCCACCCCGACCCCCACCTCGCTTAGCTTAGACCTGG